TGTTTTTGTTTTTTAGAAACCAGATCTGACCTCACATTCCCCTGCTTAGTCTCTCTGATGTCTTAAAAGCCCAAATACTTATTATGGCCTACAGAGCCCTAATGCCATGAACCCTGCCTTCTGCTCATGTTGCCTTATGCTCTGGGCTCATGGGTTTTCTTCTCATCCAAAGTGCTTCTCATACATTCCACTTCCACAGGCTTTTGCACATTTATTTTTATCCTCCTTGCTCAGTTTAGATCAGAACTCACTTTGTTAATTACTTCTTGATGAATCAGATCCTCTTCTATGCTCCCTCAAAACCATATATATGGTGATTATTTGATCACTGTCTTCTTTGGACCGTAAACTCCCTCATAAGAGACTAGGTCTCTCACTGCTTCTAAGATTCCTGGTAAAGGAAACACCTAAAATATATTATGTGAGTGACTACAAAAATGTGTAAATTAGTGAGCTGTTATGGTACATTATGCTATTATATTTATCACAATCACTGCTTACTGCCTAGTCACCATATGTGTATTCTATTCCCCCCCATGAGATTCCATGGACTTGTCTACTTGATTTATATGTGCCCCACAGGACTTCCTAGCCTGTGTTAGGCATTTATAAATAAAATACTAGTTGATTGAATGAATTTGTAACAGCTAATTAAAGCAGAGAGTTCTTCTTACCTCTAGAATATTTAAGGAAGATGATTTTAATATCCATTTTAGATGTTAAAACTTACACCAGTTCTTGGTAGTCATAGTTTAAAACAAGTACCACCTTAGTGTTAGGATTAACATTGTAAAGCCTAGTCATAGTCTGGGTGCTGCTAATTACTATCTTTTTTTCCTCTTGAAAATATTTCTGGCTTTTATGATTTTTCTGCCGTAATTTATAACACTTCTGTTAACTCTGACAATAAGAATTTTCATTTCAGATCTATAAGACTTCGTCTTAGAACTTAAATCATTTGTTTATTCCTATTTAAAATTCTTTGGACTATAATTGATTTAAATTTATTCTAATGTTTTTATAAATCTAAGTTGGTTAAAATTTTCTTTTGCTCAACTATAGATTCTTAGGCTTGAATAAATAATTTCTTTTAAATGAAAATATGCTCTAAAGAAAAGAAAATGCATTTTAATTTCTAATGACATTAAAAGATATTTACGAAATGTTACATACTATTTAAATCTTTTAGGGAGTGTTTTTATTTTCAATTCAGACACTATTATCTGAATTATCAATGGTAGAACCTGAGGTGAATAGACACTCTGGACCAGGAAGGTGCTTTCATGGGAGACCTTGGGCCCTCCAAAGCCTCATGAGAGTAATCTCTGCAGATGCCCATGGAGGACTGGCTGCATGGGTTGACTACCATGCATGGTAATGATACTTACAGTTCAACTGCAGTGGAAAACAGAAAGTGTCTCTTTGACAATAGCCCCTTTAGGATATTTTCCTTTGTTACTTACTCCCTATACCTTCTGCTGGTGACTGGTAGGGATTAGAATTACTAGAAGTGTTCAAGCATTGTAATAATATCATTTTACCTCTGAATACCAGTTCTTTTAAGGAAAGGAGGTTGGGAGATACAGATGGAAAACTTATAATTTTGTAGGGCACAGGAGAGTGTTGGTATTTTGAGGTTGGTCAGGTTTAAGAGCAAATGTTTAAGTTAGATGATCTGAGGATCTGTGATGAATTTGAGGGCACATCACAACTAGGAGACACAACTTAACTCCAAGCAGAGTATTTTCCAGAACATGTCTACAGCAAATTTGGCCTGTAGACCACCAAGCTTCAGCTCTGTGCTGAATGATATATATCTTTAAACGTTATGATTCGACATATTTTCATCATTTTCTCTTCTCTTCTCTTTTGTCTTTTTATCCCACCTTTTCTCCCCTCCCCCATATATTTTTCATTTATTTATATTGTAATTTCTTGTTACAGTAATAGTTTAAGTTCCACAAACAGTTATCAAGTTCTCACTGTGAGTCTTGTACCAATGAATAAATAAAGGTGACCAAAAAACAATTTTTACTATCTTACATAGTTTAGTGAGTTCTTAAGTGGAAGAAATGGAAACCTTTGATGTTTAGGGATCAGATAACTCAGGTAGATTGAGTGAAGAGTATAGGGAACCTGGCAATAAATTCTGATTTATGAAGAAAGGGCTACACCACAGTGGAGATGATCATAACTTGATGTAATTTGGATGCAAATGTGCTGGAAATGATTTTGACTTCAGGTAAGCTGCAAGGAGAAAACAAAAGTATACATTTCTGAAGTCTTCTAACCAACATAAAATCAAATGATGTTTATAGTAGTATATTAATTACTGTAAGACTGAGAAATTTACCTATAGCCTAAAGAAACATAAAATTTCCAATAGCAAAGGTATGTCATAACATTTGGGTTTTTCCCAAAGTTTTATTAGCCTTATAAGGCTAACTGTAAAACATTAAAGGTAAAACATTACCTTTCTAGGGTATTAATAAAAATAGCAATAGTTCAGCAGTTAAATGTCTGGTTGAGCCCTTTATTGCTATAAATACTATAATATGTGGGTAAATAATACAGCCTCCTATGGGACTTTGCCCCACTTGGCCTATCTTCCATCAGTGTTATTAGTTTATGGTGCTTTTATGACCTTGAACCACAATTCTATAAACCTATCTTTTCTTAGGACAGTAAGTTGCACAGTTCTTGAAGTATTTTTTAAAGATTTTTTTATTTATGCATTTTTATTTATTTATGGGGTACAGGCCAGATGTGCAGGGGGTAGGGGGTGTGTGAGAGCATTTACCAGACACAGAACAGGGAACAGAACAGGCAAGCTGACTAAAATACACTGCTGAGAGGAGAACAGGAGAGTTCTGCTGCACCATGTGGGTAGCTCCCTGGCCTGCTGAGACTGAACTAGAGCTGCAGAGGCTGCAGATAACTTCACAGCACTGTGCTTTAATCCGTTGTGCCACCAAGGAGGCCAGAATTCTCTTAAGTATTTATGCTCATTACATTGTCTCCTTTGAAAAGACTTTTCATTAAAATGTCCTTGAGTTTGAATCCTTTTTTTTTTTTTTTTTTTTCAATTTAAAACTAGATGAGAAAAGAGACTTAGTTTTGATTCCAAAGAGAGCTCTCTGTAATCTTAGAAGTTTTTGAGTATGTCTGGAGTGGTGTTTCCTAACACAGGTGCAGAGTAATTTGGGACTGACTAGGTGAGATTTACCTGGGAAGGCTTGTAAGCTTTACCTTCCCAGGACCACACCTCCTGGATATTCTGATTCAGTAAATAGGGTTTTGGGTCAGAGATACATTTTTTTTTTAAAGCTCTGCATGTCAATATATATACGGTCAGTGTGGGGAATCCCTGAGGGTCAGAGAACAGGAAATACATGCTTTTCTGCTTCTGAGGTATGTAGCTCACCAGTCAAAGAAGTATCCCACTAAAATGTCCAGGGATTCCTCCAAGAGGAAAAGACAAAGTTGGAGAGCTTTTTTCTGAATGTTTCTTGTCCTAGAATGGCCTTCATGCCTCCTAAACCTTATAAAGCAGGTGTTTTTCCTTTCTGTTGGAAACTTTCATCTTTTATTACTTAAAAATGTTTCCGTCAGCAATCCTGACCTAAATTATGCAGTCTTTTGATCTTGGGGTACATTGAAAGTGTCTTGTTGAAAATATCCTCTTTTTCATTTAGAATAAATTGTAGAATAAATGTAATGTTATTCTATAAACTGCATTAAATTTCAGTATTATAGAACATGTTATTTGCATTTCTTAATCTTTCCTTTACAAATGGGAATGTGGAATAAATACATTTTTTTACAACTCTTTCAGATCTAATATTTTTTTGTCAGTATCTCAATACTGTAGTGTCCCTCTGCTGTCTTTTAAAAAAATTTTTTTCTCCATGGTCTGAATTGTAATGACATCTACAGCTTGCTATTGGCAAGATGCTCATCACTCTTTGCTAACACCCTCTGTTCAGTGCTAATCTGACATTCTGAATTTTAAGCTCTGTGTCTTCAATAAATCTTGTCTTTTCACACAGATAGTAGCTAAGCCTTTGATTTGAGGCCTATATTACAAAAAGAATGCAAAATCAGAAGTTATCAGTGAAATACCACTTATAAAAATAAAAGGTCAAAAGACCTTTCTACATAAATTATTTTTTTTCTTTTCACTGCTTTTCTCTGCTTTTAGACCTTAGGCATTATTGATTAAGCTTCTACTCACTCTTAAACTTATGGTTTAAATAATTGTATATGCCATATGGATATCCCAGTCATGGTAGACTTAATGTTTGAATATTCTGAAATGTTTATAAGTATGCACTATAGCAAACATTAAAGCATTTTAAAACTATAATCCATGTAAATATTTGATAACTATTCTATAACATTCCTGGTTTTGAAATAAAGTGGAGTGAAGCAATTGACAGTGATTTACCAAAATTTAAAGAAAACAGATGATCTAGATATCTTTGTATATGAATAAGCCATATTTATTTTGAGAGTTTTTAAAGAATTCTTGTCATTGGGTAACATTTATAGAACATAGCTTTGGATTAGTACATGACTTTATGGTAAGTAAGTGTATAAATGAAACCATGAGTATATGATGGGTAAGACCTAGGGGGAAAGAGATATCATTTGATGGTGTGAAAAATATATGAACAATCAATCTACTTTTAAGGTTTTGTGTAGGTTGAAGAAGTTATGCCTGTTCTAAAATATTTGTGAAAAATAACAGGATTTTTAATATTAAAGCGAGAGAAAAGGAATATTTCTAAATTTATAAGTTAAGTAGACTGCACATTTTCTTGTATTGCTTAGAAATGAACTTGATAATCTGCCATGCATTTTCTAAGACTAATATTTTTAAAATGTAATGAAATCAAAGTATTTGCATTTTTTTCTATTTAAATCCTATAGGTAATTCAGTTAATATGATGAGAAGTACAAATATGTCATTCTTAAGCATTTTTGTTTTTTCTTGATAGGAAGAAGAAAAGAAGTCGGTCAGTTTTCCTTCCCTCCTTAGCCACATAACTTCTTCTTTTCTGAATCATCCCATCATTTTAATGGCAGAAAAGGTTTACATGCCCACCCTTCAGCTGCTTGGTGAATTCTCTCCATTGCAGTCATCCTTGCCTTGTGATATTCATCTGGTTAATCTGAGGACAATACAGTCAAAGGTATATCTAGTTTTCATAAATATATTTGGGGATTGGGAAGAAGAAAAAATACTATAAGCTTTACTATGCTTTGAGGAATCATAAAGAGGACATCATCTTTAAGTAAAATCATCATGCCTTTCATTTGTCTACTACTCTGTAGTTTAGACTATATCTTGTTACTCATTAATTTTATTCTTGATACGGAAGCTAAAGCTGGCTGGAGTCCAGATATCTAGTAGATGGGAAAACCATGCCTTAAGATCAGGTCTACTAGCATTTCCATTCATTTCTCATTGTTAGTATTTCTCAGGAGCTAGAGAAATAGAAAGCAGAGTTTAATTATTTCTGTATTGAATATTTTGTATATTCAGCTATTTCTTTTGAAAATCACTGCAACCAAGACCTTTGCTTTGAGAAGTCAACTATTCAGAGAAATATAAAGATATGTTAGAGAAAGAGCTAGGGAAGTATTTAAATTCCTTTATACTGCTTTAGTTTACATAAATGCCTACTTTTAAAGTCAAATTGGATTTGAAAAGGAGAAAGACTAGACACTTGATATCGTTTTTACGTTTTGTGGAACTATCTTGATATTGTAAAATGACATATGCTTAGCTGGAAACAGTAAGAGGTTACGGATTCTGTGGCAAGTATCTTAAAATAAATAACCTGAGTATAAAGATATTGTTCATGTTTGAAGACAACATAAGTGAAGAAAAACGTTTAGTTTAAGGACAGAGTGCTAGAGCAAACCAGGTAAAGTCAAGATAAATGCCTACACATTTGGACATTTAGGACTTTAAAATTGTATGTCCAAGATATGGAACTTATGCCAGACTATGTTGGAAAAGATATATATGACTTGTAATAATGAATAAAAGTGAATGTTAGAGGCCCATGTGTATATTGCCATGTAAATAACCAGCATCTATGTGCCAGTTACTGCTAATAACACTTGGGGATAGTTGTGAGCCAAACAGACAAAAATCCCTACCTCTCTGGAGCTTAGATTCTAATGGGAGGAGAAAAGTAATTAAAGAAAAAAATCTGATTACAAAATATATGTTAAATTGTGATACCTTTTATGGAGAAACAAAAAAAAAAAAGGAGGGAAGGGCATTTTGAAAAAAGTAAACAAATTTGAATAGAGTATTTGGAGAGAGCCCTACAGAAAAGAGAAAAATCTGAAGGAAGTGAGAAAATAAAAGAATCACACAAACTTCTGGGGTAGATGATCTAGGCAGCACTATAAGCAAGTATGAAGGCAGCAGATGTAATCAGAATGGGGGCTGCATGTGAGCTGGGCTTTTGTTTGATTCCTGTTGTATCCTTGTCGGGTACCAGCTCAATCCTTGCCTGGGTTCATCGTGCTAGCAGAAGAGAGAAAAGTCAGGATGCTCTTTGGCAGGGCTAGCAACAAGTCTGCACTGAAGGAGGAGGAGGCAAGGTACAGCAGCAACATTTGCAGCATCTGTGGGTGGTCAGCATAGTATGTGGGCAGTGGCAGCAATAGCTTCTAGGTAACCGGGTGGCCCTCCCCTCCCAGGCAGCCTCCTCGGGCTGCCCAGCAGCAACAGCAGCAACAGCAGCAACAGCAATTGCAGTGGCCAGTGGTAGGTAGTGGTCATGGCAGCCCCCTGGGCTCTGGCTGTAGTAGTACTAGTGAGAGCTTTCATCTACCCGCCTCCCACCCCGCAGAAGCCTTATTTGCTTTTATATGATTTCTAGACAAAGCCAGCACTGGGCCAAATTTATGCCTAGATTATTGCTTTGCACACATGCAGAATACATCTCAAGGCTACATGTTACCTACTAAGCCACCTGTGCTAGAAGGTCATGGCAAAAAACAGCCTGAGAACCTGAGAAAACTTTTTTCACAATCATCCTATAATTTTCCTGCTTAAAGCCATGACTGTACATAGTACTAGGGGCGCAGTAACTATTTGTTGAATGAATGAACCTGTTTTTCTAGGATTTTCCTACAGTCTTTTGTGGGTCAACAAGAATACCCTAGAGATGGACACCCTTGCTGAGATAACCTGTCATTAATTATTCATTAAAGGGAATAAATGGACAGAACAGAGGCATCAAAGACTCTGGCCCTCTGATCACCTCCTTTGGGCACAGGTGTTAAAGAGCATCTGGAAGGATCCTAGGTCGTCTGAGGAGCTTGGCAGTCATATCACTTAGCTTCATTTCTGAATAACTCTTTTTCAAGATTGCTTAAAAATGATTGTTTTCTGGAAGCAACTTCAGCTGACTAGAGTCAATGAGCATAAGGGCTTTACCCTCCACAGTGTAAGGCTAGCATCTGTTTCCAGGTCGTCCCTTATTAGTCATTGCCTCGCTTTACCTTCTGCCTGCCATTGGGTCTCTTCCTGTCATGCAAATCTGACCACATCCCTGATTAAAAATCCTACTGCCTGATGAATTGGTGCAGACCCCTGAACATTCAGGCCCCCTGTGGTCTGCCTCTACTCATTGACCACCTGACTTCCACTTGTGTTTCTCACTTCAGCACAGATTCATTCCCTCCACTCCCTGTGAGTAAGTGATGCTGGCTCAACCACCTTTTCAAATGGGGCTGATAACTGGATATGCCTGCTTCTATCTTGAGAAGTGTAAATGCTGGGAAAGCTCTTTGAAAACCAAAGCGTTTTGTAAACATACATTGCTACTGTAACAATGCATACTGTATATGCCAACTTGGGACTAGGGAGCAATCTAAGAATGTAGAGTTTTTTTTTTTTTTTTTTTTTTTAAATATTAAATTTTATTTTTATATTCCCCCATACAATTGCAAACGCCCCATTCTGACCCCAATCCTTCCCCTCCCGCCCCCCACCCCCCAAAAAGTGTCTCTGGTTCATAGTTTTTTGTTGATTTTGATTTTCACTTTCTTATATTCATTTTCCTGGTCCCTTAATTAAGTTTTCTAGATTCCTGCTATGAGTGAGACCATCCGGTATTTTTCTTTTTCTTTTTGGCTTATTTCGCTGAGCATGATCCCTTCCAGTGCCATCCATGTTGCTGCAAATTGCATGTGTTTATCTTTTTTGAATGCTGAGTAATATTCCATGGTATATATGTACCACATCTTCTTGATCCAGTCATCTATTTTTGGGCATTTGGGTTGTTTCCAAAGCTTAGCTATTGTAAACAGTGCTGCTATAAACATAGGAGTGCAGGTGCTCTTTGGAATTGATGTTTCTGTGTCCTTTGGGTAAATACCTAGGAGTGGAATTGCTGGATCATATGGAAGCTCTATGTTTAGTAGGTCCAGAAATCTCCACACAGCTCTCCATAATGGTTGGACCAGTTTGCACTCCCACCAACAGTGCAGAAGAGTTCCTTTTTCTCCACATCCTCGCCAACATTTGTTGTTGCTAGTTTTTTTAATATGTGCCATTCTCACTGGTGTGAGATGGTATCTCATGGTAGAATGTAGAGTTTTGACTAATAAGGGCAAAGACAGATGCATGATTCCGAAGTTAACTACTGGGCTGGCCCCCTGATCAGAACTAAATGTTCTTTTGTATTATCATAACAATTGATACCAGTTTCTGTGTTAGACTTTGAATCTGAACACAAATTTCTAGTGGTTGTTTAAAAGCTCATTAGTAATCCAAGGGATTGATTGGTCTGTCCATATCACTTCTTTAAAAATTGCTCTCTGTCCCCTGACCTCTGATAATAGGAAGATAATCATCAGTGGACTCTAATGTAGGTATTGATTCAAAGAAACCTTGGTACAAATCCAGAAGCCAAACCTAAACACTTTGATTGTGTTTTTGCTTTTGTGTGCCAGCATGTAATAATGAATTGCTCGTTTAGATATTGCAATACATTTTTCCCATTGAAATAATGTTGACGTATTGGTTGAGTTACAAACCAGTCCAGAGGTCTGCATTGACCTGTATCTAAGTAAGCCTTTTCCTAACTACCACCTTACAGTATTTCTGTGAGAAATGCATCTGAGGACCAGCTTTACATGAGAAGGACATGTTTTGCTTCCTGCCTACCCTCTTCTGTCAGCTGTGTGATGGAGACCATGCCTATTTTCCTCTCCCCCAGCCGCTGTCTGAAGACTCCTCAGTTCTAAACTTAAGTGACTCTCTGTGGCTCCTCATGGAGTAAGGGGTTATGGGGTATAGTATCAGTGACAGAAGTATGATGGGGTACTGGAGGTGTACTTGTCCATTTAGGTGGCTCAGCATTTCCAACTACTTATCCTCAGATTCACAGTATGTAGATAACACTGGGGAGACTTGTAAAATTGACTTCTAACAGGTTTCCCCATCTGTGAGATTCCGATTCTGATGGTCTGGAGCAGTGAGCCTCGGAATCGGTAATTCTACATGATTCTAGAAATTGTAGAGTTACCACCACTTACTAAGTTGGTGAAGTAAGGATTAGTGAGATCAAATGATTGAAATAAAACTACCCATGTACTGATAGAATCAGGACCTACATCCAGATCTTCTAGATCTGAGTGTTGTCTGTGATCTCAGAGGATAATATTTGCGTTTTTAAGAGTTGCTGCATCTGTTCCTCATATTCGTTTGTTTGTTTTTGTGGGGAATGCTATATATTTGTAGTCAGATGAAAGGAGAGTAGACCTTTCATAAAACTCTGCTCACAGCATAGTCTCTCTCTAGAAATTTAACTGTTAACCTTCTCATCCTGTAGACCCAGCTTCCAACTACTTCTCTTCACCAACCTCTTTCCCTGTACTATTAAGAGCTTAAAATATTAAAAAGAAACTTCTATAAAAGTTAAAAAACTGGGGAACGGGAGCACCACTTAAGTGCCCTAGACAGGAATGCATGTCACCAGAAAAGGATGATGTAATCATCCTTTTAAAGGAGAAGGGAATCTTTGTAGAGGATGCTGGGAGAAACTTGGGAGGACCGATCATGGGTTAGGTTCTGTATATTAGAATTACAGGTTCATCCTGGGATGCTCACTTTCCAGGACCAGGGAAGAACTCGATTAAGCCATTCAACAGCATTTCATGA